CTCGTTGTAAAGAAATTTATTTTGAGATTTACGCACTCGGATTGCGATGCCGATTTGTTGAGTGTAAATACAATGGAAACGGAGTACGTCTGCCCGACATGTCGCAATTCTCCGTTGGTTGCGGATGCGATGATGACATCGGCTGGCAATAGCTCCGTCGCAGCATCACCAAACTCCATATCCACTCACGATGAAGCATCGCGTAGTGCCCCCATAGAGAGCAACTATGGCATAGATTCGCCTTCTAACAGGAACAGTCCGCTGATGTCACTGGCACACATGGATCCTTCATTTAACGATATTTTCAGCATTACACAATCCGGAGGTATTTCATTTGGCTTTTGGTTTGGAAATTTCATTTTAAAATCAAAAAGTTGCCCGACCAGAAGAACAAAGCTGGTTATGAAAATTTGATACTAAATGTCTGTCAAATAATTAGCATAAAAAAATTTTAGGAGGGATTCAAAAGATTTAAAAAATGCAGTGCTTAACGTACTATATCAGGAAAGACAGCGACAAAATAACTTGCCTGAAATAGCCTTGATGTCAAAGAAAGGAACTGGATTTGAAATCTTTAAATTGTACATTGACAGAGGGCATCCCCTTAAAATTTCAGCTTTCTAGCTTTTCTGATTCTCGAATTAGCAATTTCCGTCAAAAACTTCGCGTGCTCGTATATGGGACCCAGGCGTGCATGAAAGTTATTACTAAATTCTTGGGTTATCGCTTTGCCAGGAAGCAGTCAAGTCGGATCTGGATGCTTAGGCGGGCATTTCAACTCGGCAACCTTGCATACAACATGAAGCATCACAATATGCTTCTAAATATGCAAAAAAGAGTAAAAAGTAATTGTAAGCTTCAAAGGAATGGTTGGTGTAGTGTTCGCTTATTCATTTCGTTAAGGCTAAAATGATTGTGGCCACTTTGCATACTGAAAAGTACGGGCGCTGCATCAGTTGAACAGGAAAAGGATTTCAGGGCAGGTTTCTTCGATGTCTCCGTCGGGATCTGTGGCGCTGAGTGGGCCACTGTCTTCTAGCAGAGCTTCGCCGGGTTCATTTCCTGAATTTGCTGCTATCGGCGATATTAGTGAAGAACTTCGATTTACTGCCAGGTTCAGAATTAATCTACTTTCTGGGATTTAATCTCAATTTCTTCTTGCGATACGCTGTTTTGTTTTTAGGAGAGAACGAAGTGACAATTCCTCCAGTTCCGGCCGTATATCACGTGGCGGCGGAGTGAAAAAACCGTACGGTCGTGGTGTGGCGCCCAGGACGCGTTCGCTTGGTGGCGTGACCGATTTCCCGGAAATCATCTCTTCTCATCGCGGTAAACGAAGTGGACGGGGAGCTAACAAAAATGCCAGAGGCCGTCGTCCAAGGTTTCTAATTCATGCGCAGAATCTCTCTGTTACTTCGCAGCAAATACCTTGAAATAAAAAAACGCATTGCTAGACTTGTGCATGATATTTTAATAGGAAAGGCTGCACTTTCTTGAAAACTGCTAATTTGATGTGTTCCTTTGTTGATTAAACTTGATGTCTGTTGGGAAGGTATTGTTGGCCGGTGCTTTTTTGCGCTGAAATGCATGTATATGCAGTTCAGTTCTGTTACTCAGTCCTTTCAGCGGTCCAGTTGCCTTTTTATGCGTTTTGTGCTGTGTAACAGCAGTACAAATCGCATATTGTCACGGGGTTGTCTGTGTGTTCCACATTTTGTCTCGCACTTTCAGCTCGGGAACCACAAAAGCTAGACGGCTGAAATTCTAGTATAGTGCCAGCAGGTGACGCGGCAAATTTAATTTAAGCCTTCCCGTAGCCGCGGGTAATACGCACGGCCACGTAAAAGTTTTTCGGGTAAATCTGTATCGCGGGAACCACGGAAGGTAGAAGGCTGAAATTTTGTGAGCATGTTCCCCGCCCATGTACTACCCAGAAAATTTAAATTCAGCTCTCCCCTGCCCGCGGGTAACAAGTACGGCCCCGTGAAAGTTTTTGGCGGGTAAACTATCTCGGGAACCTCGAAGTCTAGGAAGCTGAAATTTTAGGGTAATGACCCCCTGCTCAGGCTCAACCTTGCCTATTCAAATTCGGCGTCCCCGCGCTCTCAGGTGTCACCTATG